AAATTTGCTTCTCCTCTCCTGCCACGCGTATTGAACGGGACTCCTTCCCAAGCTACTTTTATTGCTATCAACAATCTTCAATTCAAGCACAACTCAATGACTGGACTACAAAATAAATGCAATGAACGAAGAATTAAGATATGTAGAGAACCGAAGCAAAGGAAGAAAGCAGAAAGCTAAGAAAAGCGACTTGTTAACGACAGTCCCCCTTTTATGCGCCGTCAACAGCTGGCGCTTCTGTAACATCCTTCTTTTGCTATTTAAGTAAATGTGCACGTGTTAATGAGTCAACTCCTTTTGCCTGTCTCTTGCGCTAACATCGCTAAACCATTTTTTGTTCTCGCTGACAGCGATACTCCCGCCCCAAGAGAGTTTAGTGACCCTGGATGAGCTGGTCGATTTTTATCTGAAGTTCGTTGCGTTGCCTTTGCATTTCCAGAAGTTCTTCCTTTAGACCATCGATTTCGATTTCCATCTCACGGGCTAGGTCGGGCGCACAGCATAATGCGGAATGATGATCTGATTTTCCGCAATGGAAACACCGATTACCGTATTTTGAACATAATACTCCCCGCGCACACCACCAGTCGAGACAAAGATAGCATCGGTTGCTCCTGTTTGCTGCGGCTCGGCGACTCTCACCATCTCTTACGGCAGGACAAGAATCGCTATAATGTTCTCCGCGTGCTTCGCAGAACGCACACCGCATTTTCTTCTCTTCGTGGCGGAAAATCAGCCCTTGGAACGATCGGGGTTCGCACGGTTTCTCGCGTTCTTTCAGATGGATTCGGTTTTCCAGATTGAAGATTGCTATTTCTATCTGTTCACGCATTTCTCTGAGCTCCTCAACCGACTCGCCTTCCCCCACCTCGACTTCTTCCATATATTCTGCATTGGCGTCGATTAGTTCGCGCTCTTGATGCCGGAGCGCATCATCCTGCCCACGGAAACGGAGTTGATTCTGGAGGGACAATTCTCGAACAGCATTTTGGATTTGTTCGACTCTGCCTTGGATCGATTGCAGGGTTCTCAGTACCATTTCGTTGAAGTTCTTTTCTTCTGTGCGCTCCTCAGCAAAGATGTTCGAGCGTAGAGTGCGGAGAGAGGTCAGCAGGTCTCTGATTACCTTCAGGTGATCATCGATGATGTTGTCGACGACATCGGGCTCCATTGGGAGTAGGTATTCGTTGCCATCGCGGTGACAGCTTTGTGGCTGCGTCAGCATTGCTGTCCATGCTTCTTCCGAAATCTTATTTGTTGCGACGAGTAATGGTGGAATCGCGTAAAGGAATCGCAGGGTACGACGCAGCAAAAGGAGTTGCATCTCGCAATTTTCGACTTTCGCTTCTAAAATTTGCGCCGTTTTTTCGCGGACCATGGGACTGTCGAGGGAACTACTGACAGAGGATGCTTCCTTTTGAAGATCATCAAGTATATGAGTACAAAAAATAACGTCACGTGTAAAAAGAACAATCTTGTCGTAGAGAGTTTCTGGAGCTGGTAGAGTAGGGAGTGATTTCTTTAATTTCTTGAGTTCTTTCTTGACTGATTGAAGTTCCTCGCGAGTTGAGCGAAGTTGGTGTCGAAGTGTTTTGAGTTTTCCGTCCTTGTCTGTACGCGATGTTGAGCTAGCCATCTAAAATTTTAATATAGTTTTCTTGTGGGTTTGTAACGTAGTTTAGCTTGGCGCACCCTATCGATTGCGCAGTTGCATAAAGTGCTGAGAATGGCCTTGAGTACCCGAAGGGGTGGTTTCAAAAAAAGGAGGATGCCATATTTTGGATGCCATATTTGCCACAGAAAGCTCAAAATAAAAGATGTCGGTACCGCATTTTACCGAACAATTCATTCTGTTTCGTGCTTTGTCGCGCTGGAAATGGAGTACCGTTTTCGGATCGTTGGGAGAGCACGGCACTACGAATGAGTCGCTGTCGCACTGAATTTGTCCTAACGTATCGTGATTGGATTTACACTGCACTGTCGCTATCGCACCTTTTGCGCAGCGATAACATCCCTCTAAGAAGCTATCGGCAATAACACACTTGAAATTATCTACCTTCTTAACAGTTTTGGTAACGTGCCCCGCGAAACGCACAATAATCTCCGCTGAAGCCGGAGAATTGATTTGTGCCACAACTCGTGTCGAATTAGAGGTAAAAAATCGCAGTTCGGGCCTATTCACTGGAAATTTCAGCGTTAGGGTCTCGAACTCTTCTTTTATACGGAACGCTTCGCACT